CACAGCACGGCTCAGCACCCGCCAGCATCATCTCCCGCCAGCATCATCTCCCGGTCACTATTGGGCATCACGACTCGCAGCATCTCCCGCACAAACGCTAGCTTGGTTAACCCAGGTTAACCCCACAACAGTTGTCAGATTGTGTTTCGCCCACAGCCAACCAACCCTCAGTGATGTCACACCACACGTACTTACACTACCACAGAGCAAGAGCTCCTACAAGAGTGGCGGCCGTACCTTGAGACCGCACAGGATACCTTCATGCTGGTCACCGACCACCGACTTTTTATCTTGCCGTACAATAGTACGGGTCGTACATCGGATGGCTACGCTGGTGTATCGAATCCGGTGTCTTTCGACACCACCTTGACTGGATTTGATCAAAAGGATATACGTTGCGCTAGGTTAACAAAAGTTGTTTTAGGTTCTGAATATGCGGGGCCTGCACAAGTGTGGACTGCACACTTATGGCTGGTTGCAAAACAAATTGCGGATGCGAGGCGAAGTGCACTCTTGCGTACGGCTTGCACCTTGCAAAGTCGCAAGTCGCGCGAGAAATCGCCCATCTTTATACGCGAGCGCATACGTGATTCGGTTTTCCGCACTTGTCATATCCGCCACGTAAGTGTAAATGCATTGGAGTGGCATGCGGCATATATGGTTTCGTCTGCCTCAGGAACGCCTGGCCCATGGCCACACACAAAAGGAAATGCCGAATCTTCTTTTCGGCCTAGTATAGAAATGCCTTCGCCTGTCAAGGAGAGGTCTCAGTGGTATCCTTGTTGTCGCCCACGCCTGCTTCACTGTAGGCTTCTTCTCAAACACGCACGCTGGGCCCTATGCCCAACGGTTTCGTGATATAGTTGACATTCAGTAAGCTCTCGAGTGGTAAATCTGTGTACTGAGAGTTCCGGACTGAATGCTAAAGTGTGACCGATAATGAAAGCCCTTATGCATTAAAAGGGTGAAAAGATGTAAGTTGCAACGAAAACCTGTTGTACTTTTAGTACTTCAGTAAAGGGCCGTCCCTAGTAGGCCACCAAAAATCATTAAAAGGCCATGGTTTCCATGGGCCATATTTTTCCTTTTAGGGGAAAGAGGCACTAAAAGGTGGCACCAAAAGCCAACTGAAACCGCACGCTACGCGTAAGGTAGGGCTTGCCCCAAAGAGGAATTTCCAAAGTCTGTAATGGGTGATTTAGTGTGGTGCATTGATGGAAGGAAGGTTGTTAGTTAGTTAGAAGCATTTCAATGCCGTACCTGTTTATAATGCGAATGTGAATTATTTGACATAAATTTTCGAAAAGGAATGGTTGAGAGGAATACAGGGTGCTATTTTCAGAAGTTCTGAACGATACAGTTTTACATAAATTACCGCGGCCGAGGTAATCGCTCACTTGCATGTCAGAAGTGTATGAAATGACGGGGCATCAAGGATGTAATTGGTGTGTCGCGCTGAAACAAGGGTTGGACATTCTAACAAGAAATGCCTGTTATCCCAAATCGTCGGCTGCTGGCTACCCTAGCGGACACGCTAGACGTGCTGCGGCTTTTGAGTCAGAAGCCAATACACTTCTTTCACACATGGTCACTTTTTTGACACGTGTTTATGGCTGTGAGCGCCTGGGTTGTTGTCATAAATATAAGGTAAAGGAATAGCAATTGGGTGAATTTCGGTGCTGTCTGTGATGTTTATCCCCGACGCGCCAGCGGCCTCAGCAATCCGCCCCACAGCCGCGGGCTTCATCGGGGCACACCGCAAGTCTCCGGAGGCCCCGAGCATTGGCTAAAGTAAATGTACATATGCGCAGCTTACGTATTTCATAGAGAAATGTAAGCAAATTTGTCGGCCTGCTGGTGGCAAGTCGGAATGCCCGTGCGGGCAAATGGTAACACAAGCTGGGTGTTCAAGTTATCATACGCTGTCATCTCGGAAATCAATGATGAGTTACCCGGCACCTTTTTCAGATGAAATTTAGCCCGAGAGGCGTTGATGTGACTATGAGCTCGGTCAATGGAGGCAGCCAAAGTTGTTTGTGCTCATACGATCTTTTTTAGCTACATGCGAGATACCTTGCAATAGAGAATGCTATATAGTACCGATAACGCGTTTCAGCCGGGTGAAATATTATGTTTGGTCCGTTACACACTCAAGGCCTGGGAGTTCGAGCTATCATACGCCGCCATCTAAGAATTCAAATATGAGATACGCGGTACCTTTTGAGATTAAGTTTAGCCC